TACCCGATACACGACCGCGAAACGTTGGCGATCGTGCACGCGTTCAAGGTTTGGCGGTGTTACCTGACTGGCGCCGACGTGACAGTACGGACAGACCACCGATCACTACAGTACTTACGCGCCCAACCGAATCTCAATCCACGACAGATTCGCTGGTTGGACTACCTCGAGTCCAACTTCCACTACACGGTTACGTACAAGAAAGGCACATCCAACATCGCCGACGCACTCACCCGCCCTACCGCCCAACTCCACGCCATCCTACTCGCCCAGACCAACCCGCTTTTAACAGGCCTATTCACCCACGGATACCGCACCGACCCATTTTTCACGACTGGAAACTCACAGCAACTGGCAGAAGCTAAAGGAGTTCATTACGTAAAAACAGGCACCAACCGCATCTGGGTACCCGCGTACTCACTACTGAGGGAGCTGCTACTGCAGGAGGCACACGACAAAATTACCTCGGGACCTTTTGGGGTAGAAAAAACGCGATAGCAACTGCATCGGTATTACTACTGGCCGGAGCTGTTGACCGACGTGCAGCAGCATGTGGGCTCGTGCCCCACGTGTCAGGTGATGAAGAGCTCGAGGAAGCGGAAGGCGGGTCAACTGCAGCCGATACCCCCCCCCGAGCGCGCCTAGAAGCAGGTTACCATGGACTTCGTCACAGGGTTACCTTCGAACCCTGGGGGTAACGACGCGGTGATGGTCGTCGTTGACAGGTTGACGAAGATGGCACACTTCGCTGCGTGCAAAAAGTCGATCTCAGCCGAGGAGACCGCTCGCATGTTCATCGCAGCCGTTGTTCGCCTGCACGGGATACCAGCAGCGATTATCAGCGACAGGGACACAAAGTTCACCAGCAACTTCTGGAAAAACCTCTGGGAGCAGTTCGGAACCAGGCTACAGTTCAGTTCGTTGTACCACCCCGAGACCGACGGTCAAACAAAGCGGACGAATCAGACGATGGAGCAATTGATTCGTGCCACGTGCGACGACCCGACCACTTGGGAGCAGCAGCTGCCGCTGATCGAATTTGCGTACAACAACGCCACGTCAGCAACGACGCAACAGTCCCCCTTCTACCTGAACTACGGGAAAAACCCTACAGTGCCCATGACGCCGAGTCCGGACAACCCAACACCACGTGCACAACAATTCGCCGAAATACGGTAAGCTACCCGCACCAGAGCTGCAGAAGCAATTAAAAAAGCAAACGTCATCGCTAAGCGCAACGCTGACCGCCACCGCCGCCCAGTCACATAACAGTCAGGGGATTACATACTGCTCGATACGCAGAATCTGCGACTGCCCGACGTACCGAAACTTCGACCGCGCTACTGTGGCCCATTCCAAATCATCCACATGATCACGCCAGTAACCGCGCACCTACTGTTACCGACCGATTGGTACATCAGCCCTTCGTTCCACGTCAGCTTGCTTCGCCCCTACATCCCAACCACAAGCCAACTGCCTCTCCACCGCCCGCCATCCATGACTCGCCCTGCATCGGAGCCGATCATCACGCCTGAAAAAATCCTGAGCCATCGGATTCGACACCCCACAGGAATCAAGAGGATTGAATTCCTCGTTCGCTGGAAGGATCGTACGCCAACTGAGGACAGGTGGGTGCCCCTGGCCAACATCGAAAACCACCTTGCCCTGCAAGTGTACCTGAGGAGCCGGGGATTCTGCGATATACACGCACTCGCGTAGCGGAGGGGGCTTCTCGAGGGGGGGGGTAGTGTAAGGAATTTTCTCGGCATTCCTTGTCAGAATGTTATTGTCTAGCCTGTAGTGGGGTGCTCTATAGCGGGTACAACCCAGCTAGGGTTTGCTACATGTATCTCCATTACTGCTAGTGAAACACCACTCTTTTGCCTAAACTTCTCTTGCCTAGCTAGGACTTACCTAGCTAGTGCTCCTCGTTTTGCCCGTTCTCTCAACATGCTATCAGAGCAGAAACGCTCCTGGCCTATGGGCCCACCTTCTTCCGCTTCTACTCTGTCTGTTGCACGCCCCGTGACGTGCGACGCCTTCTTTCTGCCGTGCGCCCCGAGGCGCGCAGCGGTTTCATGCCGTGGGGACGCGCGGCCCCTGCCCTGCCCGTCGCGGCGCCCGCGGCCCCCGCCCTGCTTGTCGCGGCGCCCTGGGGGGACGCGCGGCTCCCGCCCTGCTCGTCGCGGCGCCCTGGGGGGACGCGCGGCCCCCGCCCTGCTCGTCTCGGCGCCCTGGGGGGACGCGCGGCCCCCGCCCGTCCGTCGCGGCGCCCTGGGGAGCCGCGTGCTCCCGCCGCCCATCCGTCGCGGCGCCCTAGGGGTCGCGTGCCGCCCCCCCCGTCCCGCCTGTCCGTTTTGGCGCCCTGGGGGTCGCGCGCCGTCCCCCCTCGCCGTCCCCCGCGCTCCTGCCCCGTCCCACCCGTTTTAGGGTTTGGGGGTGAGGGGTGTGGGGGTGGCGGTTGTGGGGGTGTCGGTTGTGTGCGGCGTCCCCTCCTCCTCCTCCTCCTTCGTCTCCCACTGCTGCAGCTGTCGCTGAGGGGGTTGGATGTGTGGGAGCCTGGGGTTTAGGGTTCAAGGGGGGTGCCGTGGGAGTGGAGCTATGGTTTGAGCAGAGGGTGTGTGTTGAGGGTGTGGGGCAGTTGGAGGAGGTTGTGTGAAGGTAGCTGTCTTGTAGCCTGCAGCGCCTGTAGTCCGTCGCCCTTGCTTCGGTAGCCAATGAGCCTGTTGCACCAGTCGCCAGTGGGTCCGTTGCTCCTGCCGCTCGTCTATAGCCGCGGAGCCAGTTACTCCAGTAGTCCGTCGCCCTTGCTTCGGTAGCCATTGAGTCAGCCGCTCCTGTGCCCGTGCCTCTGCAGCTTCAGTCGCTGCTTCCCATCTTCTCTCCCTCCACAGTTTCTCCTCCTCCTCACTTGCCCGCTGTGATTAACTCTAGCTTTGCTTACTATTATGAACTCGTGCTCTATACCTGCTTGCTCATTGTGCTGATTACACCCCACTTTGGCTATGGGGGTGTGTCAGAATGTTATTGTCTAGCCTGTAGTGGGGTGCTCTATAGCGGGTACAACCCAGCTAGGGTTTGCTATATGTATCTCCATTGCTGCTAGTGAAACATCACTCTTTTGCCTAAACTTCTCTTGCCTAGCTAGGACTTACCTAGCTAGTGCTCCTCGTTTTGCTCGTTCTCTCAACATTCCTTACGGAGCCCGACTACATCGCGTACAGCAACAGCCGTTGTTCGCCCGTTACTGCTAACGGGGCTTCGTCGACTTCGCGCGCACTGTTTTACCAAACCTCGCACTGCTGGCCTGGCCGTGTCGGCCTACGCTTCGGGACTAGCCCGAGCCTTGCTTCTAGCGTAGCACTAGCTAGCTCGCACGCACCGCGTTACCGTTTGCATGTTTCGCGTATAAATGTTCGCTCATGCCTTCGCTCACATTTTGTACTCGTTTGACACCTTAGTGCAATCCTCGCTACTTCTATCCATTGCACCCGTAACATGATAAGATGTTACTGTGTTAGCTGTATCTTTGGTGCAAGGAAATGCAGAAGTATCCTGCATCCCCCGAAAGATGTTAGGGTGCGTCAGATCTGTTGTCGGAAAAAACCGGCCGGCCGGAATTAGCGAAGGTGACACATTCGCGACATCCGCAAAGATTTTCGGAGAGTTCGTCAAATCCGGCCATTTGTAGAAAATTTGATGGCCGGTTCAGCATTCGACAAAGTTCCGACGTGCAGTCGACTCGAAAGTCGACCAATTTGTCGACCTGAGATCGCTACAGTCACTACGCGACGTCGCCAACTCGTGCGACGCAACGTGTCACACAAGTACTGCATCTGCGATTCCGTCGCACAATCCGGCGACCCTGGCGAACTGCAAATCTGACACATTTGCAAAGCGGCCATCAAATCGGCCGCCAAATGTGTCAGATTTTTCAGCCCTGTAAATGTGGCCGGATATTGGTCGTTATTGAAGTCGACCATGTTGTCGACTTTGGCAAAAGATATTGTCGACCAAATTGTCGACCATATTCCAGCCAAATCACCTTGTAACGGATCTGACGCGCCCTTATGAACCAGCTATGGCCCATTGGTTTCCAAATCTCGAGCTTCCAAACCAGCTGTGAACCACTCCTTCCCAATGGGTACTGCTGACGTCCGCAAAGCTCTGCTCAACTGACGAAACTTTGCTTATACGTAGCGAAACTTCCAACTCCATTGGCGAGACTTCCACCTCCAGCGGGTTCATTCAGCGAATCACGAGCAGCTGGCGGTTTTACAGCACAACCCATGGGCTGTGTGGCCAGCACGGACCTTCCCATTTAGCTGGGGATTAATGACGGACCATCCGCCATTGCATGCCACGTGTACGAAGACTTATGTTCGCGTCCAGTGGTCGCGCAGGTTCGCTGCGACTTTACGGCAACTACTACTCAGAAAGCGTTGCCTTTTAGCAGCGAATGCATAGCCTAGCAATGGCTTGACGTATCCACGGATGTACAGTCAGTTTGTGACCCATCAGATGTAGTTCGTAGGAATCGCGTGGCTCCATGTACAGTAGTCTCTGAATCGCTGGACGCAGCACACATATGGCGGCGCTCATCCCAGTTCCCTTGCCTCCCGCCTTGTTTCCTGCTTTAGGGCTCTCACATGATTTAAGTCGCTGATCCTTGGCTTCCCTTGTAAAGGAGGTGCGAATCCGTTAGCTTGTAAGATACTCGCGTTGATCACAGAGTAGATCTTTCAGACTCCCAGCGAACTCAACTTTCGAGCCACAACTGCCAGAGCCGCAGCCCGTAGCCGTCAGAGCCGTGAATAGTAGTATGATGCATGGTTGGTGAACCCTGATGAATGATCAGTGAGAAGTGTGATCAATGATGAGCCATCACCCAGATTCCATCGTTAGCCAGTCTCGTGGAGGCCATTCGTAACCGCCTTCACGAGCGCCTTACCATCGCGATCGACGGCAGCGATCGCTCGCATCTCCTTGGTCACGCAGCCATGATCGACGGCGGAAATGTGTACCGCGTGTTCTGCGCCATCGTGCCGCTGTACGTGGGCATCGGATCCGGCTTCCTGTCAGTGCGCGTCTTCAAGATCCTCTCGACCGACCAGTGCGCGGGAATCAACCGTTACATCGCCTTCATCGCCCTCCCCTCGCTTGTCTTCCAGGTGCGCGCTCCTCATCGAGTTCCATCCCTGTGTCCGCGCGTGCTCCCGTCGCGAATCCAGACTCTCTTCTCGTGAGATGGGATGGTGAAGCCACGTGAAAGAAGGAGTGTTTTGAGACGTCTCAAAACGTCGCGAATCCATACTCTCTTCTCGTGAGATGGGATGGGACGACTTTGCGGCACCTGGAAGGCTCCCATATGACCCGTGGTGGCCTCTGCTCCGCTCCCTCGCGGAAGCCAATCTCTCTTCCTTCTCCTGCAGCTCCATGTGATGTGCTTCCTGCTGTCATCCGACTTCCCTCCCGCACGCACCTTTCTCTGCTCTCAAAACCCTATCCTGGCTGGGCCCCCACCCCACCAGACCATAGCCAAGACGGACATGTTCAAGATGAACTTCCAGTTCCTGGCGCCGACTCCACAGCCAAGCTCTTCGTGCTGGTAGTCGTGGTGGTCCTCTTCCTGCTGCTGATATTCCACCCCTGGCATCGTTCTCAACCCCCCACCACCCCTTGCCCCTCCCCGCAGACCATAGCCAAGACGGACATGTTCAAGATGAACTTCCTCTTCCTGGGCGCGGATTCCACAGCGAAGCTCTTCGTACTAGTAGTCGTGGTGCTCTTCCTGCTGCTGCGAGTGGCGGCCAAGCACCTCGCCGTGCACAGAGCCTTCCTCTGGTCCGCGTCCCTGTTCATGCTCGTCTCCATGCCCAACACTCTTATCATCGGTCAGTGCTCTTCTCTCGTCATCACTGCTGGTGGTCGTGTGCTTCCTGCTGCTGCGAGTGGCGGCCAAGCACCACCTCGCCGTTCACAGGGCCTTCCTCTAGTCCGCCTCGCTCTTCATGCTCGTCTCCATGCCCAACACACTCATCATCGGTGCGTGCTGGCCTTCTTCCCTCCCCCATGCACACTCCCTCTCCATACCCTCTCCTCTCACTCGCTCGCTGTCTCTCCCTCTCTCTCTTTGTTTTCCTGCCCAACACCCTCATCATCAGTCAGTGCTGGCCTTCTTTCCTTCCCCCATGCACGCTCTCTCTCCATACTCCCTCCTCTCTCCCCATACTCCCTCCTCTCTCTCCATACTCCCTCCTCTCTCTCCATACTCCCTCCTCTCTCTCCATACTCCCTCCTCTCTCTCCATACTCCCTCCTCTCTCTCCATACTCCCTCCTCTCTCTCCATACTCCCTCCTCTCTCTCCATACTCCCTCCTCTCTCTCCATACTCCCTCCTCTCTCTCCATACTCCCTCCTCTCTCTCCATCGCTCTTCATGCTCATCTCGTTGCCCCCACACCCTCCTCATTGGTCCGTTTTGGTTCCCCTGTTCCCGTCCACGCTCACTTGTCATGTCATACCAAACAAACTATCATCCTCATCATGCCGGCTCCCTTTCCTCCTCTCGACCTCTCTGTCCTGTTACCGGCCCCGCTGCTCATTGTGTCTCCATGCCCAACACCCTCCTCATTGGTCCGCCCGTGTTGTCCTTGTTGCCTTCTCATCCTCATCCGTGCTGCACCACTTGTGTGCTCCTCCTCACCATTCAAGCACCTCATGCCTTTTGAGTCGACTCAAAAGTCACCTCATCCTCATCCGCGCTGCACCACTTGTGTGCTCCTCACCATTCAAGCACCTCATGCCGCGACACAAGTGGTGCTGCAGCAGTGCTCGTGCTGTGCTGGGTACAAGCCGCCCCGTCCGCATGTCCCCCACATCCCCGCATGTTCCCTATCTGTGCCATGGCTCCGCATGTCCCCCACATCCCCGCATGTTCCCTATCTGTGCCATGGCTCCGCATGTCCCCCACATCCCCGCATGTTCCCCTTTCCCCCTACAGGAGTTCCACTGCTGTCAGCCATGTATGGGGAAGAGGCCGGGGACCTCATGGCACAGATCGTGGTGCTGCAGGTGAGTCGCGGATTCTTGAAATATTAGGGTTTCGAGCGCCTGAGGAATAGGCCATATGCGTACACCTCTCCATCTCTCACCATCTCTCACCATCTCTCATATGCCCGGGCTCGCGATTCCATCGGGGCGAATCAATGCAGGCAGTTGTGTTGACGCCTTTCTCTTACTGTACTTCCCACCACCCCACTCCATGCCTGTGTCGGACCAATCACAGTCCGCCATCTGGATGCCGCTCACCATCTTCCTCCTGTCCTGCCAGCAAGCCACCTCCCTGAGCACTCGCCGCGTGCACGACGCCTCCGCCCCCGCCCACGCTCGTTCGAACAGCACCGATACTGCAGGCACTGGCAGCACTGATAACCAGGCAAGCAGCACTGCCAACGGCCCAGCAAGCTCTGTTGATGTCTCTCACGCACAGGCCGCTGCTTCTATGTCCCATGGCCAGGTACAGCAGCAGCAGCGGCGCATGACTCGCCTGGAGAGCATGCTGCTGCGCAGCTCCTCGTTCAATGGCAGCTGGTTCAACAGCCGCGGCTTCAATACAGTCACGCTCGCAAGCTCCGTCAGTGACAGCTCTGGTAGTGGTAGATCCGTTAGTGACAGTGACAGATCAGTTAGTGACGGATTCGTTAGTGGTAGAAGCACCGTGGTTGGTTTCAGTGCAACACGGTGCACATATGATGTGGACGGTACCAGATCAGAGGAGCCAGTGGAAACACCGACAGAGTCTGGAGCGTCTAGTGGGGCTACAAAACTGAGTTCTGAGGGGTCCGTGGCTGAGCCTAATGGGGAAGGTCAGAGGAGTGAGGGGAATGAGGAAGGGGCGTGCGTGTGCATTGAGGTAGAGGAATCCCAGCCAACAGGTGGTGCCCAGGTGAGCCCTGATGCTGCTGCACCTGCAGCTGGAGCAGCTGGAGCAGCTGTAGCTGCTACTGCTGCAGGGCTGCTGGCTGCTGGAGATGCAGTGGGAGGAGTGGGAAGGCCAAGCAGCTTCGGCCGGGCCAGCAGCTTAGGTCGGGCAGGCAGCCTCAGTCGATGCCCCTCGATACCTGAGAGCACTCCTTTTGAGGAGTCCTGGGATAGAGGGGGCGATGCAGAAGGTAGTTCCAGCCTCAGAAATGGAGGTGGCAGTTATGCGGATACAGGTTCAGTAGTGAAGGAGCAGCAGCAGCGGCAGAAGAAGAAAGAGGAGGAAGAGGTGCAAGGGCAAGTACCAGAGATGCCATCGGTAGGGCCAGAGGTATCATTGGCTTGCTGTAAAGAGGTGGAGGCTGAGAAGCAGGGTGGAGGAGGGAGCGGGAGAGGGTGGTGGAGGAAGGGGAGGAGGAAAGGGAAGGGGAAGGGGAGGAGGAGTAGGGTGGTGGCGGTGCTGTGGGTGGTGTGGGCGAAGCTGGTGAGGAACCCCAACAACTACGCGGCCCTCATTGGGGTTATCTACTCGCTCGTGTCCAATGCGTGAGTGGCTGCTAGGAGAATCAAAGAATGCGTGAGTAACATCTGTGCCTTAGGAGGCGGGAGCTGGTGAGGAATCCCAACAACTACGCGGCACTCATTGGGGTTGTCTACTCCCTCGTGTCCAACGCATGAGTTTCTACCTCCCTCCTGTCCAGCTTGTGAGTCGTATCTGGAAATTGACTTGAAGATAGTGTTTTCTGAGAGAAGCTGGTGAGGAATCCCTACAACTACGCGGCTCTCATTGGGGTTATCTACTCCCTCGTGTCCAACGCGTGAGTCGTTCACTTCGTCCTCTCCAATGCACGAGTCAATGCTTTGAGGCATCGCTCTCGACATTTGTGCCTTAGGAGGCGGGAGCTGGTGAGGAACTACAACAAGTATTGGGGTTCCTCACCAGCTGTTGAGGAACCCCAACAAGTATGCGGCCCTCATTGCGGTTGTCTACTACTCCCTCGTGTCCAACGCGCGAGTCGCTCCCTCCCTCTATGATCTATCCCCTGTGCCCACTGTGTGAGTCACTCCCTCCCTCTATCCCCTGTGCCCACTGTGTGAGTCACTCCCTCCCTCTATCCCCTGTGCCCACTGTGTGAGTCGCTCGTGCAATGCATCTGCAGCGCTTGCCGTAGTTATATCGCCAAGGGTATCGCGCGCACATCTTCCTTTGTGCTTCTATGTATACCTTATATCCACCTCTCGCTTTTCTCTCTCTCCCCCTCTCCCCAGCTGCGGCTTCGGCCACCCAGAGACGCTGCGCACGTCAGTCAAGATCATAGCAGACACGGAGTGTGTGCCTCTCTCCCTTCACCCATCACCTGCTCTCAACAACCCTTCTGGTCCCTCCCCCTCCCCTCCGCATGTCCCTCCCCCTCGCCCTCTCCCCAGCTGCGGATTCGGCTACCCAGAGATGCTGCGCACGTCAGTCAAGATCATAGCAGACACGGGTCTTGGCATGTCCATGTTCAGCCTCGGTGAGTGCCACTGTGGCTTCTCATGTTCAGCCTCGGTGAGTGCCACTGTGGCTTCTCATGTTCAGCCTCGGTGAGTGCCACTGTGGCTTCTCATGCTCAGCCTCGGTGAGTGCCACTGTGGCTTCTCATGCTCAGCCTCGGTGAGTGCCACTGTGGCTTCTCATGCTCAGCCTCGGTGAGTGCCACTGTGGCTTCTCATGTTCAGCCTAGTCACGCCCTGGCATGATCAGCCTCACCATCCCCTCGAGATCATAGCAGGCACGGGTGTCCATGTTCAGCCTCGGTGAGTGCCAGCTCAGCCTGGGTGAGTGTCAGCTCAGCCCTGGATGAGTGCCAGCTCAGCCTGTGTGAGTGCCAGCTCAGCGTGGGTTGTTGTTTCTCATTTTCAAGTTGGGTAACTTGTTCTCTCTCTGTCTCCCTGTCTTCCACCATCCACTTTGGCCTCTATCCCTCCCTCTCTCCTCCCCACTCTCGCCCCGCTCCCGCCTCCTCCCCGTCACCTTCTCCCCCTTCAGGTCTCTTCATGGCCAGCCAAAAGAGTCTGCTCACCTGCGGGGTGTGGCACACTGTGTGGTCGCTCGCCCTCCGATTCGCCCTCACACCGCTCACCACCGCTCTCTTCGCCTTCCTCTTTGGCATCCGCGGCAAGCTCTTTCGAATCATTGCCATGCAGGTGGGGTTCGTATGCGGGTGGGGGGGAGGATCATTGGTTTTGAACTAGTTGCCATGCAGGTGGGGGGAAGGCTAATTTTTTTTTTTTTAGCTAGTTGCCACGCAGGTGGGGGGAAGGCTAAATTATTATTTTTAGCTAGTTGCCATGCAGGTGGGGGGAAGGCTAAATTAAATTTTTAAGCTAGTTGCCATGCAGGTGGGGGGGTTCATTGCGTACCGCCAGTCCACCATTCAGCCAGTCCTACATACATTCTACTTCTCCCACTGTCAGTCCGCTATGGCTCGAGGGATGGTGGCCTTTCTGCTGCCCCCACAGCCCACATCACCCCTCACCTACGATCCCCGTGTCTCGCCCTTGTCTCCCCCGTTTCTCCCCGTGTCTCGCCCTTGTCTTCACCGTTTCTTCCCCGTTGTCTCCCCCCTCCCTCAGTCCGCACTGCCCCCAGGGGTAGTGACCTTCGCGCTGGCCAACGAGTACAAGTCCCACACTGCTATTCATTGCCCTTCTCTCCCCTTGTCTCCCCCTTGTCTCTCACGTGTCTTCCCTTTGTCTCCCCCGTTCTATTACCCATTGGCTCCCCCCTCCCTTCTTCAGTCCGCATTACCCCCGGGGGTGGTGACTTTCGTGCTGGCCAACGAGTACAAGTCCCACACTGCCATTCATAGCACCGGGTGAGTACACTTGTATGCATGTATATATATATATATATATACACAAATATATGTGTGCACGTATGCTGCAACAATATGCACTTATCCTTGGATGTGGTACATTTGTGTTCCTGAGTATCATAAGTCACACAGTACCATGCATGGGACCAGATGATGAGTACAATCAGTATACGGCTGTCATTAAATGCCCCCCCCACCCCCCCCCCCCCATACCCTTCTGTTCCTTGTTTCCAGCGCTCATGACATATGTTGCATGCATCCGTTTCTTCCACTCAACATCTAGTGTGTTTTTGGGCATTCTAAACACCTCTTGACTTGCTCCAATTATATTTTCTCATCCCATATCCCTTGGCCACTGTGCTCCACCTTTGACTTCACCTCCCATCTTGCAGGGTTTGCTTTGGAACATTAATATCCTTTCCCATACTCATGGGCTATTACCTACTCCTGGGAGAGTGAGGTGTAAGATGCTGGCTGGCTTGTGCCATAGTAATGTGTTCCATTATCCCTAGTGTAATATATGTTTCATTGATAGTTTTTTTCTGTATATGGCTAAGATTGTTTTCGGGGCCGATGTGATAAGGAGAGACTTATAAAGGGCATCTATCTTTGCGGTAACAATCATGGAGCTCGATCGCATCCGAGATAAGCCACGTGTACATTTCGTAACAAAGGTATCGTGTCCTCGCCACTGTGATAACTATCATGCCTAAATGGTCAATATTTTTGCCTGCATGGTAATGAACAGTGCATCCGGAATTCCGGGCTGGTAACTTCGCGTTTCAACCAGACTGTACAGCGTACAAGTAGGATTTGACTCAGCGAAACGAAACTGACTGTCCACGTGTATTCTACAAAATGCGCATTTCTGTTTATAGTAGCGGCGTTTACAATCTCGACCGATAAAACATTGCTATTGCTAAACGTGATCTTTTTAAGAAAATTAAAACTGAAACAGTAACTTTTAAACAAGCGCCACAAAAAAAAACACAATTTCAAACCGCAAAGCTATCATAGTGATGAATATTGTGGCACACATTAGTTTACTCTACTAGAATTTTACTTATGGATCTTTACAATTGGATCTAGATCAAGTTAAAAACAATTCTAATATAAATTTGAACAACAAAATATTTATTTCTACATGTATTAAAACTTGCATAAAAAACCAACTAATTATTTCTACATTTAAAAATACATTTAATGCATAAACAAAACTATACGAATATGTTACAAATATTGCAATGCATATTTAAATCTTACAGTAGAATGTTATGTGTGATTTCATTAATATACTTGAACCATGAAACTGATCCTATGACGTTTTGTTTTGTTTTTACAGAGTGATTGTAAGATGTTTGCTATTATTGTATCGCATACGTGCATGTAACGCTTTGTATTTGTAAGTGTTCGTACACTCAAGAGAATTGCGCATTCTATTGGTATATACGTGGACAAACAGTTTCGTTTCGCTGAGTCAAACCCTACCTGTACGGTGTACAGTCTGGTTGAAATGCGAAGTTACCAGCCAGGAATTCCGGATGCACTGTTCATTACCATGCAGGCAAAAATATTGACCATTTTGGCATTATGGTTACCACAGTGGCGAGGACACGATACCTTTGTTACGAAATGTACACGTGGCTTATCTCGGATGCGATCGAGCTCCATGATTGTTACCGCTAAGATAAATGCCCACTTATAAACCACAGCAACAACAGGCGAGGCGATGGGAAACAGGCGACGGCGGCTTGCCCTAAACGATTCAGGCAAAGCGCCACCTTCGCACATGCGAGAACGTACGAATCTCAATCGTCGCACCACCATGATTCACCCCGTGGAATTGAAAGATTGTACGCGTAACGCGTTACGACCTCGAGTTTTGCAGGTCGTTTGGACGGTCAGATGAGGCCAGAATTCGTCGTGCGGATGTGCAGTCGGTGTCAGTCGTAACATGGATATGAGATGGCATTAGATAAGTGGCTAATATTTTGCATTGTCCAGAGCGAATGGTCGCGCGATTCGCGCAGCTACTTGCGGTCTGGCCGGACTGGGCCAAAAAATGCCCAAGTTGACGCTGACAGCCCGCCGCAGTGACGCAGGATTTGTCTTCCCTGACGCCAGCTGCAATCCACTGTTGTGCGGTATTCGCACATGCCAGACAAAACCTCTGACCGAACCCATGGTCAGGTCAGGATGTGGTTCTGGTACGATTCAGCAAGGTCTTCGGACTCTTGTACCTTGGATTCAGCTCAGGTTCTCAAAGGACACATATCGGTAAAGAAGGTTCTTGTGTGGTTCAAACCTGGCAAACGCTCCAACCTCCAATGCAACATGAGCCGCAACTCAAATCAAGAATCCCCTTATTGCCCCCCACCGCCATACAGTGTCAACCATACCTATGTGCCCCAAATCCTTAATTTTCTCCCGGACCTCCAAACCACCAGATTTCGACTCGGATCCTCCATACCATACCTTCGGTTCTCTTCTCTTATCCCCTCTGCGCCTCCACATCCCTCCCATCTCTCCTTCGCCCCCCTCCCAGCTCTCCGCCGTCTCCGAAAGCGTATTGTCTTCCAGAAGCTTTCTTTGGCTCGTTTTCCTCGAGGCACGGTTCTTTCTATCTTATCACTTCGTTGTAGACCTTCTTGCATATGCAACGTCGAATCCGCTATGACGATCTCACCAGCTGACGCGGAAGCGCCGCCGCGACTCGCGGCGGGCTGCTCCTTCATGTGCTGCAAGCGCCACGCGTTCGTTTTCTCCACCTCTATCGGCAGCACCAACTTCAGCGTCTGCGTCGCTTGTGCCGCCTCGCGATGGCTCAAGCACACCGTTTTCGCGCTCCCCTCCTTCCTCCTCGTGCTGGCCGCTTTCTGGGCGATTAACGAGCTCCTGCTTCCTGTGCAATGGCGCTTCGACCTTACCGCGCCTCGCGTATTGACTCCTCGCATTCTTGTCCTGATGCTTCTGACGTGTCCTGTGATCTGGCACGAGTGGGTGATTCCACGCGTCAACGCGCGACGCGAGCGGCGCGAAGACCGGCGGAGGGAGCAGCGGCTCGAAAAGGGGATTAAAGAAGCTCGGTTGCGAAAAGAGGCGACGCGGCGCTGTCGCAACTGCATGACTGCGTATCGCGATCAGTCGCCATCGTCGGGGAGGTTTACCTGTGCCGGTTGTGGACACGTGTCGCGCCGTCCGGTGCTCGATCTGCTCGATACAAGCCGTCCCGATAGTGTTCGAGATCAAAGTCATCAACAGTCATGCGTTGCGGAGTCTAGCCCTCGCCGGCAGCAGCAAGAGCAGCAAGAGAAGCAGCAAGAGAAGAAGCAACAACAAGAGCAACAAAAGGAGCAGCAGCATTTCTCACTTCCACCAACCGAAGAAGAGATTAGCAGTAGTAGCAGTGACAGGGGCAACGTAGGGGGCAGCATACACAACACTAGCGCGCACGAAACTAGCAGTATTCAGGGGACCCTTGGGAATGCCGATAGGACCCTTGAAAATGCCGACGATCGCTCTGCCCGAAGCCGGCACTGGTTGCGCAACATCGTTTTCCCCGCCGTTTTCCTCCCCATTGCGGCGGTTTGGCGCGCTATTCTGCAGGCGATGGCGCTATTTTTCTCCGCCGCGGGATGGTTCCGTCGACGGTTCGTAGGCCCGCGCACGGCGGAAGCTGGTGTGCGCAGAGGTTCCCCCTCCGCAAGCGCTGAAGCGTGCGCGGACAGGGCAGCGCGGGCTCGGCGCAAGATGATTGGGATGCGGAAGCTTACGCGGGCGGAGCGGGAAGCGACGGAGGCGGAGGAGCGGAAACAGCGCGAGGAGATCGCGCAAATGGTGGACGCGCAGCGGAAGGCGCGGGAGCAGGCGGAGGGGGCGAGTACGAATAACTGGGAGGTTGTCGGGAAAAAGCCTGCAACTGTCGGAAAAGCGGTCGAGGTACCATCAATAACGAGACGGGCTGTAACGAATAAAGAGAACTGCCCTTACAAAGGAAGCCGGTCCCAGAGCGTAGTGAGCGCTAAATCGCTTACAGGGGAGACAAAAAGTTTGGGGCAGCCCATTAGCAGCGCGCGCAGGGCGGAAGCGCCCATGCGGTCTGCGCAAGCGGGCGTGTTGGGGAAGGGGCAGGTGCGGAGTGGGTTGCCCGCGAGTTGTGATGATAAGGGTTTTGAGGCGCCTGAAAAGTCGGCCGCGGCTTTCGAGAATAAAGGCAGCAGCAGCAGCAGCAGCAGCGGCAGCAGCAGCAGCAGCAGCAGCGGCAGCAGCAGCAGCGTGTGGAATAAGGGGAGCACTAGCGGATCCACTACCGGCGGCGGCAGCAGCAGCAGCGTCGGCGGCGGCGGCGGTGGCGGCGCGCGGAATAAGGGAACCATTTTGTGCCCAGCGCCCCCGCCGCGCTCTTCTAACGAGTACACTCCTTCCCCGATACAAGCCTCTCCGCCCACTCGAGATAATCGCACGTTCTCCCAGGTGGCAAAGAGCAGCAGCAGGAGAAGCAGCGGGGAGCACGACAAGCAGGGTGGCGTGACGACCGGGGGGAAGGAAGCTGGACCTTCCATTGTCAGGTTAGGTGATTGGACAGGGAAGGAATGGCCGCAGTGGGATTCTGGTATTGGCACTTGTAGCAGCGGCAGCAGCAGCAGCAGCTTCAGTGGTGGCAGGAGCAGCTTCGGCAGTGTCAGTGGTGGGAGCAGTAGCAGCAGCAGCAGCAGCAGGGACAGCAGTGGCAGTGGTGCTAGGTTTCCCGAGTCTGTAACCGCCTCTGAACCCTCCACTGGGACGGGTGAGTCTGAAGTGACAGGGACGGCGTGCCTATGGTCGTACCCTGCCATTGCTCCCTTGCTTCATCCCGCCCCTGCTGCTGCTGCTGCCCCTGATGCTGCTGCCCCTGCCCCTGCTGCTGCTGCAACGTCAGTGTCGCCACCACGATTAGCCTGCGACCCGTTGCCCTCCACCTCTTCCTTCCCATCTTCCTCCTTCACCACTCCTATCAAGCAACACCAGCAGCAGCAGCAGCGGCGGGGGGGGCAGGAGGCAGAAGCGTGTGGCAGGGAGTGGCAGATGTGGGGCTCGTCCCTCCGCCTCTCACACGCGCTCGCCGCCACACCTCCTACATTTGCTGCTGCCTCCTCCGCTGCTCTTCCCTCCTCCTCCCCTCTTCCCGCCTCCGCTCTTTCCTCCTCCCCTGTTCCTTCCTCTTCTGCTGCTTCCCTCACCACCACCCTCACCACCACCACCACCCCTCATTCCTACCTCGCCAATCCCTTCGCCCTCCCCTTCTCCTCGCCCTTCTCACTGGGGTTTTCACCCACTCTCGTGCCCGCCACACCCGTCGACCCAGCGCCACTGACAAATAGCCCACTCAATCTGAGCACCCCTGCTGCTCCTCTGCCCAGTACTGCTGTCGGGACGGTAGAGAGGAGCGGTTTCACCGGATCAAAGAACAATTTTAACGCAGCGAGGCATGCCTTCCCTGGGTCCTGGAGTGCAGGGGGGGTGGCTTCTGAGTCGAGTCAGCAGTCACCTCGTTTTCCTGGGTCGTGGAGTGCTGGGGGCCAAGATTTGACTGGGTTCGGCGATGCGCTAAAGAGTAACGCGTTTAGAGCAGCAATCGGTGGCGGCAGAGGAGGGGTGGGCGGCGGGGCGAGCGGCGGAGGGATGCGGGCGGCGTGGATGGCGGAGATGTGGGACGAGGACGTGCCGCCCGCTTTCGTGGATTGCATCACGCAGGAGATCATGCGTGATCCAGTGATCACGGCCGACGGGCACTCTTACGAACGGGCTGCGATTGAAAAGTGGCTCATGTGAGTGTGGGGGTGTATGGCATGCATCTGGGGGTGTATGGGAGGCTTGTGTAAGCTGCGAGGGAGGGAGGGAGGGAGGGAGGGAGGGAGGGAGGGAGGGAGGGAGGGGCAGCACGCATAGCAGGAGATTATGAGCGATCCAGTGATCACAGCCGATGGGCACTCATACGAACGGGCTGCCATCGAGAAATGGCTCATGTGAATGTTTGGGGGAAAGACAGGGGAGGGAGGATGAGGGCGTGGGTGTGGCTGTGGCTGTGGTTGTGGTTGTGGTTGTGGTTGTAATTGTGGTTGTGGTTGTAATTGTGGTTGTGGTTGTAATTGTGGTTGTGGTTGTAATTGTGGTTGTGGTTGTAATTGTGGTTGTAGTTGTGGTTGTGGTTGTAATTGTGGTTGTGGTTGTGGCTGTGAGGGAAAGAGACAGAGAGGTCTAAAACACAAATCTTGTCTTTCAATCCCGTCCCCACCTGCAGGCACCATGACACGAGCCCCATGACAGGCAAAGTGCTGCCTCCCTTACATGCTACAGCTGCCACAGCTGCTACGTCTGCTGCTGCACCTACGGCTCTTGCGACAGCTGCAACTGCTGAACCCTTTCAGGGGGGCTGTTTCACCTCATGCCTTGCCGGCTGCAGCTGCAAACACAGGGGCCAGTGCATGGGCCAAGGCCGGTGCAGTGCGGTTGGGAGCGGTGGTGAGGGGTGCAGTGAGCATTGTGTGGTGGACAAGACGCTGCGACCGAACCACATCCTGCGCGGGCAGATCATCGAGTTTCAAGAATTGATGGCGCTGCAGTGAGTTTCCTGCTTGGCGCTCTGACTGTGCTGCAGTGTTCTGCAATGGGGTTTGCTGTGTGGTTGACTTGACTCCACTGCTCTTTAACATCCTGCGCCGGCAGATCGTCGAATTCCAAGAATTGAGGGCGCTGCAGTGAGTTGCCTGTTTGGCTGTGCTGCAGTGTGTTTCACAATGTGGTATGCTGTGTGCTTTACTGCTCTTTAACATCATGCGGGCAGATCATCGAGTTTCAGGAGATGATGGCGCTGCAGTGAGTTGTCTGGCTGTGTCACTCTTTGACTGTGCTGTGCTGTGCTGTGTGCTTGGCTGTTCTAGGGTTTGGGTGTAAGCGGATTAGGTTTGCGAGCAGATGATTGAGCTCCAAGAGATGATGGCGCTGCAGTGAGTTGGCTCAAATATATTCATGGTTTGGTGGCTTCCGTGCCATGCCGTGCCATGCCGTGCCATGCCATGCCGTGCCGTGCCGTGCCGTGCCGTGCCATGCCGTGCCGTGCCGTGCCGTGCCATGCCGTGCCGTGCCGTGCCATGCCATGCCGTGCCGTGCCGTGCCGTGCCATGCCGTGCCGTGCCATGCCGTGCCGTGCCATGCCGTGCCGTGCCATGCCGTGCCATGCCGTGCCGTGCCGTTCCGTGCCGTGCCGTGCTTTATTTTGATGCGTGTGACTGATTCCTTTGCCCCTCTCTGCTCATCCCTGCGTTACTCTCTCTGTGTGTGGCTGGCAGGGCAAGGGAGCGCACAGCAGCAGCACCCCCCACACGCGCTGCAGCTGCATTTACCACCTAGGGCTGCATTGCAGCAGCTGCTGCTTGCAACAGCACGAGAGGATGCAACGAAGGGAGTGGAGAGCAGCAGCACCCCCCACACGCGCTGCAGCTGCATTTACTGGTACCACCTAGGGCTGCATGCATTGCACCTGTTGCTGCAGCATACATAAGACTGAATCACTCTTCAAAATTCCCATAAGACCAAGTACCGTACCACACTGGATTTGAGACACCAAGGGCTGAGGTGACTTTTGAGTTGACTCAAAAGTCTCTTCAGAATTCCCATAAGACGAAGTACCGTACCATACTGGAGCTGAGACACCAAGGGCTGAGGTGACTTTTGAGTCGAATCAAAAGTTTCTTCAGAATTCCCATAAGACCAAGCACCGTACCATACTGGAGTTGAGACACCAAGGGCTGCCCTCGTAATCGGTGGAGTAATTGCCATATGATGCCCTTTTGTTTCAAAGGTGTGTTTGTTCTGCTCTGATGCTCTGATAGAAGGAGAGATGGAAAGAAGGAAATAACAAAAAGGATGGAGCAGAGAGTGCACACTCGTTGCACAAGGAGCCTCATGCGTTGCAGTAGGTCGGGAGAGTTGGGGTGAATTATGATTTGGTAGAAACATACTGTAATTGACATGTGGTTGAGTTCTGGAAACTTATGTGTGTAGAGAGAAAAGCTGAATGATAGAAACAAAACCCACATAATTTATGCTACAAACAGAAACCACTTGCGTCTACCTGGGTATGTAGTGTGTTTTTGAGGCGCCTAAAAAATCAATTCAATCCCTGTGTTCACCTGGGTATGTAGCGTGTGGTAAAGGGAGACTTTCTACATGATACCGGTTTAAGCTGTATTGAAGCAGATAGCAATGGTGCAAAGCATCCATAGGTATATTATAATGGGTCATACCATATACCATACACCCTATGCTAGCTAGTTATACACACACCGCCCACTCCTGCTGGTAGCTTGGACACCAGGCCTACCGGTAAGTGCACCCTCACCCCTATCATCCGCACCTTCCTCATCATCTTCCTCCCCTCGCCCACCACCAACAGCACCCCGCAGCCTTCTTCTGTTACTATCACCTTCGCCGTCACTCCCGCCTTTACGGCCACGACCACCGCTGCTGCTGCTCCTGCTCCTGCTCCTGCTGCTGCTGCTGCTCCTGCTGCTGCTGCTGCTGCTGCCACTCCCACTGCTGCTGCTGCTGCCGCCACACTTCCCCAGAAGCCAGTCCATCATGGCATGCCCGTGCTCGCTCGTCATCTCATGGAATGCAAATGCTACGTTCAACTCCTCCTCTATCGCCCCCTCCATCACCTCACTGCCCCCACCCTCTCCGCCCCCACCTTCTCCCCACCCACTCTCACCGTTTTCCTCCCCTCCACCTGCACCTTCCTCCTCCTCATCCCCCTCTCCTCCTCCTTCTCCTGTTCCTTTCCCTGCCCCGGAGTACTTACTCCCCCGTTCTAGTTCCTCCATCACCCCCTCTTTCTGCAACACAGCAATCCATCCCGACCGCCTTCCATCCCTCACCATCATCCCATCCTCCCCCACCACTCCTCCCCGCTTCAACGCCTGGAAAATCCTCTCCGAAGCTGCCGGGGTTAGGTTCGGTATCCGGTCCGACAGGAAGCTCGGCCCGAGCCTCTTCTCCAGGCACGGGATCTGCCCAGCCTCGAAGCCTTTCGATTGGAGAATCTCGACCGCCCGTTCGACCGCCTCGGCGCGCTGCTCGTCTTTTGGCATGTGGACAAAGAGGGTCGGCGGGAACTGCCGCCCGGAGGGCAACGGCGAGTCAAACGCCTTTTTGACCCCACTGGAGATGATTATAACGAGGGCTTGCAGGTCAAAGGAGTGTGCTAGTAACGAGATGAAGTATCCCCCAGAAGAGGCCCCCAGGGCGAAGAGAGGGAGGGTGTTGAATTGATGCTGCTGGCGCCAGGTGGTGAGAACCTGGACGACTGAGGGAATGTCCAGGGAGCTGGCAGGAGGATAGGACGTATCCCAACAGGTGGAAAGGCTGGGAGAGGGCGGGGGAAGGGGAAAGAAAAAGGGGGTGAGGGGGGAAGAGGGAGGAGAATGGATTGATGTTGCTGGCGCCAGGTGGTGAGAACCTGGACGACTGGGGGAATGTCCAGAGAGCGATCGGGTGGGAATGACGTATCCCAGCAGGTGGAGAGGCTGGGGGAAGGGAGGGGAAAGAAGAAGGGAGGGAGGGAGGAAGGTGGAAGAGAGTGAGGGGCGATCGCAGATAGCAGGTGGTGAGAACCTGGACGACTGGGGGAATGTCCAGAGAGCGATCGGGTGGGAAGGAGGTATCCCAACAGGTGGAGAGGCTGGGGGGTGGGGGAAGAAGGGGAGAGAGAAGGGAGGGTGCGAGGGGAAGGTGGGAAGAGTGAGCGGCAGCTGGTGTTGCTGGCGCCAGGTGAGTGGCGCCAGGTCGTGAGAACCTGGACGACGGAGGGAATGTCAAGAGGTGACTTTTGAGTCGACTCAAAAGTCACCTTGAGGGGAACCTGGACGACCGGGTGAATGTCAAGAGAACGATCTGGTGGGAAGGACGTATCGCAGCAGGTGTAAAGGCTGGGGGAAGGGGGTGTAAGGGCTGTGGGGAGGGGAAGGGAGATTGTTGGGAACCTGGACGACCGGGGGAATGTCAAGAGAACGATCTGGTGTGAAGGACGTATCCCAGCAGGTGGAAAGGCTGGGGGGTGGGGGGGGGGGTGGGGAATGGAGAGGGAAGGGGCAAGGGGGGAAAGCGGACAAAAGGGGAGGGGCAGAGAGGGTGAGGGGGAAAGGTGGGGAAAAGTGAGCAGCAGTTTCTGGCGCCAGGTGGTGAGAACCTGGACGACTGGGGGAATGTCAAGGGAGTGACTGGGTGGAAAGGAGGTATCCCAACAGGTGGAAAGGCCGGGGGATGAGGGTGGGGGAGGGGGGGAAGGCCGGAAGGGAGGGCGAGGGAGGAAGGTGAGGGAGCGTGAGGGGCGGTTCCTTCCAGGTAGTCCGGCAGGTGAGAACCTGGATCTCTGAGGAAATGTCAAGTTTTGAGACGTCTCAAAACAAAACCGTGCTGTACCGAGAAGAGAACCTAGATCACAGAGGAAATAGTTTGAGACGTCTCAAAACAAAACCGTGCTGTGCCGAGAAGAGAACCTAGATCACAGAGGAAATAGCCTGCTTGGAATAGCAATGACAGCTGCGCGCCTGCTTGTTGCACGCGAGCCATGTCTTCAGGCAGGCAGGCAGGCAGGCCCAGGCAGGACGGGCGGGAGCGGCGGGTGTTGGTGTGAGGGCCAGAAGCAAGCAGCTCAGCCCACCCAAGACATGAGAGACTGACCAGCCCACCTGGACGACTTTTGAGGCGCCTCATAAGTTTTGAGGCTCCTCAAAAGTTTTGAGGCTCCTCAAAAGTTTTGAGGCTCCTCAAAAGTTTTGAGGCTCCTCATAAGTTTTGAGGCTCCTCAAAAGTTTTGAGGCTCCTCAAAAGTTTTGAGGCTCCTCATAAGTTTTGAGGCTCCTCATAAGTTTTGAGGCTCCTCATAAGTTTTGAGGCTCCTCATAAGTTTTGAGGCTCCTCATAAGTTTTGAGGCGCCTCAAAAGTCACCCAAGACATGAGAGACTGACAAGCCCACCTGGAGATTGCGATAACAGCCATGCGTCTCTTGAGTGCATGTTGCACGAGAGCCATGTCTTCAGGCAGGCCCAGGTAGGACGGGCAGGGGCGGTGTGTGTGAGGGGGGTGGGCCAGAAGCAATCAGCCTACCCAGGACATGAGGGAATGGCACGCACACCTGGAAATTGCGATAACAGCCATGCGTCTCTTGAGTGCATGTTGCACGAGAGCCATGTCTTCAGGCAGGCCCAGGTAGGACGGGCAGGGGCAGTGTGTGTGAGGGGGGTGGGCCAGAAGCAATCAGCCTACCCAGGACATGAGGGAATGGCACGCACACCTGGAAATTGCGATAACAGCCATGCGTCTCTTGAGAGCATGCTGCACGAGAGCCATGTCTTCAGGCAGGCCCAGGCAGGAGGGGCAGGCGCGGTGGGGCGGCCAGAAGTGCGTGGCTCGGTGCGTGCACCCGTGCGCGAAGAACACCACTCCTGCCAGTGGCAGGTCGCCACGTGGCACCTGCCATACCACCTCCCTGCCGTGCATGGTTTCATATACCGGCACCAGTGCCGGCGCCTCTCCTTCCTCCACCAGTGCCGGCGCCTCTCCTTCCTCCACCAGTGCCGGCGCCTCTCCTTCCTCCTCCCTCTCCTCCTCCTCCTCCTGCCGCTTCCGTGCCTTTGCTGGCACCTCCCTCTCCCCCTCCTGATCCCCCTCCTCCTCCTCCTTCTCCTCCCGCTCCCGTGATTTTTCCTGTCCTTCCTCCTCCTCGTTTCCCTCTGCAGAAGCACCAATCCCAGTCCCCTTCTTGACACCCTCCCTCGTCCTTTCCTCCTCCCCCTCCTCCTCTTCCTCGTCCTCTGCCCCAGCATCACTCTCACCACCCTTATGTGTTTTAAGTGCTTTTTGAGCCAACTCCAAACTCTTCCCCTTTTCCTCTTCCTCCCCCTCCTCCTCTTCCCTTGCACCTACGTCACTCTCACCACCCTTCAGCATCCCTTTCGCTTTCCCTCCCCCACTCTCCACCCCTTCTTCTCCCCCCCCCTCCTCACCCTCCTCCTCCTCATCGTACCGCACTGCACTCCTCTTCATCCTCTTCTGACCCTCTACTTTCGTTCTCTCCTCCAGCTCACCACTATCACCATCACCATCATCGTCATCACCATTCCTCTTACTCCCCTTCCCATCACCACTCCCATCCCCCACCCCATCGTCATAATCAAACCCCTCCCTGCTTCCCCCTTTCCTCTCCTCCTTACTCCCCTCCTTGTTACTCCCCTCCTCGTTACTCCCCTCCTCGTTACTCCCCTCATCGTTACTCCCCTCCTTGTTACTCCCCTCCTCGTTACTCCCCTCCTCGTTACTCCCCTCCTCGTTACTCCCCTCCTCTCGTCTCCTCTCCTCTCGACCATCATCATCCTCCTCACCGCCTTTATGCGCCACCCCATCGTCATAATCAAATCCTTCCCTGCTTCCCCCTTTCCTCGCCTTCTTACTCCCCTCCCCGCCACTACCATGCTCCACCCCATCGTCATAATCAAACCCTTCGCTTCGCCGCTTCTTATCTGCAGCCCTCCTCTTTCCCCCCTCCTCACTCTCTCTTTCCTCACTCTCACCCTCCTCACTATCTTCACTATCCGCCCCCCTCGCACTAACACCCACTTTTTCTCTTCCTCCTGCACTACCCCTCGCTCCCTCCCCTCCCTCCTCCTCGTTCTCGTTATCGCCGTCCTCGTATGTGTCTCTACGAAGCTTCGACTTGGCTTCCTTCCTCCTCGTTCTCTGCTTCAACAGTCCCTCCTCGCTCGCCGTCTCCCCCTCTTCCGCCTCATCTTTCCCCGCTTCCGCTTCCGCTTCCGTTTCCGCCTCCGCCTCCGCCTTCGCTCCCCCATCTCCCGCTCCCCCTGCCCGCAACAGCTCTGACCGACCCACAGACTGCCCTTCAGAATCCGGCCGAGTAAAAGCAGACCCCTTTTCCGTTACCGTCTCCGTTACCGTCTCGTCACTAACTGATGACTCCGTCTCAGCCTCCGACCGGGAACGAGTGAATTCGATCCCGTTAGAATCACCCCCATTCTCATCAGCGGTTACTATACCAGCCGGGTATGTTTGTATCGGGGTGGATGGTATCGGATTAAACGACAGTTTAGAATCCCCTGTTGATTCCGGTACAGGCATCACATTCAACCCAGCAGACTCCGGGAATTTAACATCTGCCACGTCAGCATCTCCAATTCTCGAGCCAGTTCCGTCACCGCTTATTATCTTATTGAACCGCTGCTTCGATATAGTCCCTTCGCCAAAGTCTATAGTGCGATGGTGCCGGCCGTGGCGGTGGCGGTGGTGCCGCCTGGTATGTGGCGACTCTTTGGAAATTAGGATGAACGCCGCGAGGAAGAAAGCCGCGAGAACGTAAGTCGCGCCGCGGGCTCTGCGCATGGAGATGTTATAGCTCGCCGGCGCGACCCGGGGACTCCTAGGTACGTACATGATAGAAGTAGGGAGAATCGACAGATAAGATAAGAAGCGTGCTGACTACTACGTTCGGAATCGATTCGTGGAGGCTCGGAAATTGCGACCGCAGACTAGTAAACTGCGACGTTCCTAGACCTACGTGAGTGCACGCGATTAATCAAGATAAAGACGCGCAGTTGAAAGAAAAAGAACAAAAAGATGGTCCCAGTTGCAGCCCTTTGAAACTACAGGATGTCATCTTCCTGAATCTGCACAAGCCAGTCGCAAGCAGTCTGCGGAATGGTGGTGTCAGATGCCGAGCTCACGGGCGGGAAACCTGGGGAGTTGCGGCTGGGACGGATTCGCAACGAGCTGACGAACGGATTTTACTTGTTTGCGAAGTCTATTACCACTCGCCACCATTAGGGCGCGTGTGGTCTGTTTAGAAGTTCAAAATTAAGTTCTAACTTTGGGTTGTTACCCTATTTGCTAATTTCGCGAAGGGTGCTTCGCGAACCAAGCATTGTATGGGCTCTGCAAAAGTTCGAGTTTGAAATATGAACTTGACTCGAGTCGGAGGCGCGAACGTGCATGCGCACGTTCATGCGAGCGTGTGTGATTTGCAGCACGTCCGAACAGCTGGCGAAACGGGCGAGCGTTTCGCCAGTGCATGAAGTTGCACAACGAAGACACCCCACAATTCGTGCACACAGTGGTAGCCACGTGTCCAGCATCGTGGCACGTTCGAGCACGATGTGGCAACGCGTCCCGCCCGTCTTGACGTCAGTCAAAGAAACTCCCGCCCTTACCCAATCCACGTCCCCCGCACCAAATGTATTTGAAATCCTCTGGGAGTGGAAGGCACTTGATACATTCAAATATACCACCCTTCTTCAACACTTGTGTACTGTCTACGCAAAGTTCACTCGACATGACAAACGGCAACACTAGCGCCCATGGCTCTGTCACACCGGCAGATGCTACCACTCCAGCACCCTCTACTCCCGCATCTGTCGCTGCACCGGTCCGCGGACCCGCACCTCAGCGGCGTCGGCGTGCTGCCGTTGATCCGGCCGCTTCCTGGCGCCTTGAAGTTATCGACCTGGACGATATCGTGGCGCGTGTACCAAACCCGAACACTCCTCTAGGTGCATACGACGACACCCTCGCGTACTTCGACGCAGGCGAAATCGACCGCGATGGCGAAGACGGTGCTGACGACGACGCAGATGCAGCGACGCCTAGCGACAAAAATGGGTGGGAGCCGGCGGAAGTCATGCAGCTGGCGTGGATCCGCCACGACTTCGACGAGCAATATCGGAATCTGTGCCGCCTGCAAGGCCAGAACTGGGACGTCATGCTCTACGAGCAAGTCCGTCTTCGTCACCCCGGATGGCGCCATGGTCTCGCAGCCACGAAAGCCAAGGTTTTCCGGATGGAGGCTCACTGGCGGAAGGTGTCGGATTTAGTGCTCAAACCTTCAGGGAAGGGGAAGCCCCCGAAAATGCCTATTTTCTATGACATTTTCGACAAGTTCCTAGGGGATCGGGCGAATGCGCGTCCCCCGGCGCTCGCGGGCCCCTTGCTTCCCGCAACTACTACCGCGCCTCCTCCCCCGGCTCGTACCATTCCTAGTAAGTGTTGATTGCTGTTTGATGTGATCCTTATTTTTAACTGCTCGTAATTTAAGATTGATGATACTAATACAACCATTCATCAAGGTGCCATGTAATAATGAAACCACCCAACACCCCCCTATGCGACGCCCATCACCGGCAGATGTGGCGTCTCCTACCACCGCATCAGCGGTGTCTGCAGGGCCCGATGGCGTAGCGGCATCAGCAAGCCGAGCACAGTCGGCTCGTCGCTCACCCAATCCCCGCCAAGTGACGGCTTCGCCTGGTCACTCCCCTTCGCGCCAGCCGTTTTCGTCTCCGTCTACGTCTGCGCTTGCGCAGGACGTGTCCCCCGCCGCTGCCACCGCCACTGCATCTCCATCCCGTTCACGCGTCGTCGGCGCGAACGCGGGTGTCGCGCTCCGTGGCCGCGGTGTCTCCCGCCGGCCTGGGCCTGCGGCTGCCGAAGAGGAACATTCGGGCAACGACACAATGGGAGGTGGTGTTGGTAACCACATGAACTCAAGTGATTCAGTGCTGTGTGCTGAAATAGCGGGGATAATTGCGCAATCGGTAAAAGAGGCTATGCGGGACCAATTCGATGAGTTTTTAGAACGTACCCAAGAGATGGTTGAGAGAGCTCAGGATGCCCGAGCCTCCAGGAAGCGTAGAAGTACGCCGCCAGGCGAGATCGACGACGAGTCGGAGTAAAGCCCGCATCGCGCGGCGAGAAATGCGGGGCTTCCGCAACGGGTCCTTCCAGCCACCAAGTGTTGCGCTCACAAGGTTCGTTCAGGCGGTGACGAAAGCCGAGGATGAGGTCGATGTTGTGAAGCACGATGCAGGCGGAGACGACCTGCGGGGCGCGGAAGACGTCGCACTCGAGGCGCCCGTCCAGGATGCGCCATTTGGTTTTCAGCCTCCCGTTCACCTGCTCCACGATCATTCGAGTGCGGGACTGCTGGAGGTTCCAGACTCGCTGCTCGTCGGGAAGTGCGCGACCGGGAAGGGCACGATACGGTGTGTAGATGTAGGGCCTCAAACCATAGGCAGCATCCGCTACTAGCGTGTAGTCCAATATCCCTCCTTCTTCAATTTTAGTTATTGCAGGGCTGTTCATGAAAACCCGAGCGTCGTTGACGCTTCCGGGGTAGCCTACAAAAAAGTCCCAGATGAGACCCATACTGTCGCAGATTAGTTGGCAAATAAAGAAAAGAAACCTTTCCTATTTCTGAAGTCTTCGCAATGTGGTCCCATGCCACGGCAGTGTATGTAGGTCCCGTCCATGGCGCCTACCACCCCAGGTATTCCGGCTTGAAGGCGAAACTCTGTCTCGAACAACTGCATCATGTCCATGTCTGGCCACACGACCCACTTGGGCAGGAGGACTTCATTGACGAAAAAAACGAACCTCGCAAACAGCTTGTGGGCGTGGGACCAAGAGTAGCCGAAGTGAAGCCCAATTTCGCAAAATGTGAGACCATGCCCAAGCCTGCTAAGTCCCATGGCGACGAATACAAAGTTATGCATAGGATGCTTAAGTGTAGCGAAACGGCTGCGCTGATACTGGCGCACTAAGTAAACGAAAACGCGTTTGTCAACCCGCAAATACTCATAGAAATTGTCATCGGGCAGGGATGTTATCAGTCGAAACCAACGCACACGTGCGTCAAGGCGGTCGCCAAGCACGAACACCCGGGTCTGCCTGAGAGTGAAGGCCGAGACGAGCGTGGGGAGTGCCGTGCCAACAGCGTTGAGAACGGGAAGCATCACCATCTGCAAGTACCCCTGCCATAAGATGCGGAGAAAGCGGACCAGCTGTAGGGTTGTCATGTTGGGCGAATGACGAGTATACAAGGTGTTGCCACGGGGGCTATTTGTACCCTGGTTACACACTCGGCGCGGAAGGTGAGTTGGAGCTCTAGGTCCTTGTAAACCGAGGCGCAAAATGTTGACGTGGCGCACCGTCAAGACGAGCGAACCGGGTAACCTATGATGTTGACGTGCGGCTCGGCTCGTTTTTACAAGTTCGAATGTCGGGGTTCGACCTTGTATGTGTGTGTGATTTTTTACAGCGTGGTAAGCCCGATGTTCGAACTCCGATAGAAGGAAATTCGAACTTCTTTCATTGTATGTTCGAAACTAAAATTCGCCCTAAAAACATTAACTTTTACAAATTTCAAAGACCTCACGCGCCCTTACCAATTCTTTGAATTCCGAACTCGAGAGGAGAAAGCGAGTCCATTTTACTAACGCGAGATATTTGGTCGACAAGCAAAAAATGCTGCAGTACAATCTCTACGAATAATTATCTTTACTAAACAGAGCCAAGGTTAGGACAAATGTTTCCTTTGGTCCAGCCTACACATGGTAGGATTGTGCCTAACAGCACATCAGGGTGCAACCTGAGCCAGCCACCAAATCCCATTCTAAACGCCTACTTATGAAAACTTCCATCGCGGATGTCTCACCACAAAGCAAGTGCGCTACAGCCTGCCCAGAAAATGAAAGAGCAGATCACAAAACCTTACGAGCAGAGCTCAACAGCCTAAGCAAGGGGCATAAATTACCGAGGGTCAAGCAAGGGAATTGGAAGGGTAACAGACGACTGGGCCTGCAAGTGCAAAGCATGCTGCTGATGAAGGCGGTTGGTGTACAGTATGAGGGAAGCAAGCAGAGAGCGTGAGGATTGTGAGAAAGAGGAGAGAGAGAAGTGGGGTGCAGTCATGGGGTTTTGGAGAGGAAGTGATAAGAAGCCAAGTGCTATTGTGGCAGCAGCACCAGAGCCAACTAGGAGATGGACAGGGACACTATTGCTGCTACCACCACTGTCTGCCGATGCTGTTGCTGCTACTGCTGTTACTGATAGCGTTGCTGCTGATACTGCTGCTGCTGCTGCTGCTACTACCCCTGCAGGTTTTTCAGTCGGATGCACTGTCACTGGTGCTCCCTTTCCACACTCTGTCAGCCTACCCCATTCCAGACCCCCTCGTTCCCTCCCCAACATCCTCCATTTGCCCCAGATTCCTACAACCATTCCGCCCTTGCCCCCCCGTGCTGCCTGTGTGACCTGTGCGGCCCGTGCTACCCGTACTGCCCTGTGCTGTCTATCCTCTGACAACCTCCTGAGCACGCAGTCCTGTGCGGTCCTCTGCTGCCCGTGCTGCCTTGTGCGGTCCTGCTGTCCATACTCAGCAGAAGCACTTCTCCTCTCCTGCTGCCACCTTCCAGCCCAGGGGCATCCATGAACATTCCTGCCACTTCTCCCTCATGTCGCCCACCCCACCCCACCTGCACCCCTACCTCCACAACCACGCTCTCCATCCCCGTTTTCCCGCCTCCTCACCTCCAGCACCCCAGTGCCGTCCCAGTCAGTTGAAATAACTCCTTCCTCCTTTCCCCTGTTCCCCGCCCTTCCCTTTCCCCGTCCAGCCTCCTCACCCCTTCCTTTCCCCCCTCCTTTCCCCCCTCCAACCCCCTCATCCCCAACCTTTCCCCCGCCAGCAACAAATTATTTTTCAAGTCAACTCAAAAATTGCCTCTTCACCCCACTCTCCAACCCCCCCTCCATCCTCTTCCCTCCCACCCCTCCTCCACCCCATCACAGATCAAACGACCCTTTAGGCAGGATGTTCAGCCGCATGAGCGTCTCAGCGGCCGTCTTCCTGCCCTGCCCCGTGGCCGTGGTCATGAACCGCCCCAGCGCCGTCACTGCCGGCTGCGAGTACTTGGGAGCGCGGTACTTCTTAATTGCAAACACCTTCTCCAGGATATACACCGCCCACTTGGTCAGCTCCTTGGTCCGCCCCACCACCCCCGCTGCTGCTTCAATCACGTCTAGCTTGACTAGGAGGTCCGCTGCTCGCTCGTGGTCCCCTTCGTCTGCTAACAGGGTCGCCACCGAGGCTAGGCAGACCTCGGCTACCCGATCCTCGCTCCGCCGAACCAGCTCTAGTAGGATCGGGACAATGTCGCCTTCGACCAGGCAGAAGGTGGATTCCAGGCTGCATTTCCCGCCGTGCACCTTGCAGGATCGGAGTTTGTCTGTTCCCGTTGTCACAGGGCTGGCTCCCGAGCCTGTCCCGCCGGTGCTCGCCGAGGCTCGCGAGTTGGACCGTGAGAAGTTGAGCTTCCAGGTCATGGCCTTGCCGAGCCTGCGGTCGAGCGAGGTTTGGTCAACCAGCTTTGGCGTGGAATGTGAGAGGTTCCCTAGCAGGACAGCAGAGGGGATTCGCATGACATCAGGGCCCATCTTGAGATAATGCACGGCCAAATGAATCACCCCCAGACGAGCCACTATCTGCTGCGCTTCTATATCATCCGGATCCGCGAGCTTCGACAAGCCAGACAGGATCGCCTCCTGCAACCGAGCCGAGCTCGCAGCATTGGAGCTCCCTGGACCTGACGACGAGGTGGGCCCCGCCCCTGGGTTCAAATTCAGGAACTTCTGCATGAGAGTGAACACCTGCTCCTCTACCCGCACCAGCGGCCGCATCTGCTTGTTCCCCGCCATGGTCCCAAGCACAATCACTATCGCCTCCCGCTCCTCTCCAGGGAGCGGCCGAGCGAGGAGAGTGGCGAGAGTCTTGACTACCTCTGGGGGAGCGCACATCATCTCTGCTGCGTTGTGCTCCTGGCACAGATGCCCCAGCAGCAGCAGCGCCGACGACCGCAAGCTCCCCGCCGCAAAGTGCGATGCGCTCTCCTGTAACACCTCGAAAATAGCGGTAACCGCACCGTCATCCTCCATCACCGCGGCCCGCATGGACTTACTCTCCTTCGCCATACACTCCAGCGTTCTCACCGCGTAGTCCCGGTTCGTCTGCGGGCCCGCCCGCAGCATCGTGATCAATCTAACGGCCGTGCCGTCCTCGTCCAGCGCGTCCAAATCCTGGTCGTCCATTGCCAGATTCGCCAGGGTCGCCTGCGCGGCGTTCTTCACCTCAGCGGACCCGCGAGCGAGGGCCTTAACGAGCGCGGGGATCACGCCCGCCTTGGCCAGAGCCATGCGGTTGAGATCGGTGTGGGAGAGGTGCTCTATGGCTCGAGCAGCGGCCGCCTTGCCCTCTGGGGGCCCGTCGTTGAGCAGGGCAACGAGAGGGGGCAGCACCCCGCACTGCACGAGGGAGACGCGGTGGGCCTTGTTGACTCCCCACGTCATGACCCCGTCCGCCATCGTCATCCTCGTCTCCATGTCGCTCTCTGGAGGGGGGGAGAGGGATAGAGCAGACAGGGAAGAGAGGGAGAAAGGGGGCAGGGATGAGCGGATATATGCTCCTTTGTTAACGGACGCCCCACGTCATGACCGCGTCTGCCATCGTCATCCTCGCCTCCATGTCGCTCCCTGGTTTCATGGGGCAGAGGAGGAGCGGGAGAGGAAAGGAACAGAAACTAGAGGCTGAGAGCAGCCTTGTTGACTCCCCACGTCATGACCCCATCCGCCATCGTCATCCTCGCCTCCATGTCGCTCTCTGGGAGGGGAGTGACAAGCGGGTGGGAGAGAGAGTGAGGGAGAGCGAGGCAGAAATGAGCGGTTGAAAGCAGCCTCGTTGACTCCCCACGTCATGACCCCATTCGCCATCGTCATCCTCGTCTCCATGTCGCTCCCTGTTATACGGGGCAGACGAGGAGCGGGTGGGAGAGGAAAGGGGCAGATATGAGAGGGTGAAAGCAGCCTTGTTGACTCCCCACGTCATGATCCCATTCGCCGTCGTCATCCTCGTCTCCTTGTCGCTCTCCGGGGGAGGGGGGGGGCAGGAGGAGGCGGAAAAGCAGGTAGGAGAGTGAGGGAGAGAACTACGGGGTTGGAAGCAACCATTTAGAGGCGTTTCATCTCAAGCACCCGTGCTGACTTTTGAGTCGACTCAAAAGTCAACTCTGGAAGCAACCACTTAGAGGCGTTTCATCTCAAGCACCCGTGCTGACGCCCCACGTCATGACGCCATCCGCCATCGTCATCCTCGTTTCCATGACACTCTCTGGGGGGGGGGGGGGGGGGGAACGGGGGGGAGGGAAGGAGTGAGGGAAAGAGGAGAAGACAGGCAACTGGGGGAGAGACCTAGGAGTTGGAACCAACCATTTTGGACGCGTCTCAAGCAGCCTTGAGGAGCACAGAGGTGTTCTGGGTTAAGACGTCTCCAGCACAGCTGACTCAAAGGCCATGATCCGGTTGTAACCGTCTAACCAGTTGAGCAGGTTTATCATCGCCACCACCACCACCCTCATGCGACTTTTGAGTCGACTCAAAAGGCACCTTGCTGACTCAAAGGCCATGATCCGGTAACCATGTAACCAGTTGAGCACCTTTATCATCGCCACCACCCTCACCGCCCCGGTCACCGCTTCCCCCCTTGCCTTGCCCACGCCCCTCCCTCCCCTCCCTCCCTCCCTCCCTCACACTCTCTCCCTTGCACTCACCCATTCTTACTCACCCACTCGCTCACTCGCTCTCTCACACACCCACACTAACGCAGACCCATAGTACAGACCCAGACACAGACCCACACACCTACCTACAGCCACCCAACCCCCCGCCCCCGCACCCACCTGGTTCGAGCAGCACGACGAGCGGCTTGAACATGCCGACAGAAGCCATCTGAATGGCGACGTAGGGTTCGTCGCGCCAGTACGTCTCCAGCACGGCCTCCAGCAGCGCGCCCTTGTCGTCCTCCTGGTGCCAATTGAGCAGCTTTATCATCTCCACCACCCCCATCGCGTCCGTCACCGCCTGCCGCAGCGCCGGGAAGCGCGAGAGCTCTAGGATCACCTGGATGGCTGGCGTCACGTCGGCTGTATCGTGCGTGATGAGATGGATCATGGGGGGGATGCCCCCCGCGTCCGAAATAGATGTCTGAGATGGGGGAAGGGGGGGAAGGGGACGTTTGAGTCGACTCTAGGGTCACCTGGATGGCTGGCGTCACGTCGGCTGTGTCGTGCGTGATCAGGTGGATCATGGGGGGAATGCCCCCCGCGTCCGAAATAGATGTCTGAGATGGGGGAAGGGGGGGAAGGGGACGTTTGAGTCGACTCTAGGGTCACCTGGATGGCTGGCGTCACGTCGGCTGTGTCGTGCGTGATCAGGTGGATCATGGGGGGAATGCCCCCCGCGTCCGATATCGACGACTGGAGAAAGGGGAAAGGGGAGAAGGGGACGGGGAGAAAAGATGGGGAGAAGGGAAGGCGGTGTTTGAGTGGACTCACCACCCCCATCGCCTCGGTCACCGCCTCCCGCAGCGACGGGAAGAGCGGGAGCTTCAGGAGCAGCCACATTTCTAGGAACCACACTAGAACCGTTTCTAGAGTTTATATCGGAGCCATTTCCGATATGAACGGCACGTGATGGTGAGACCACAAGGTACCAGAAGCGAAGGTTCTCTATCGCTTTCGGAAAACGTGCTTCAGTATACCTCAGGACATGTTATTCGACTACAAAAACGAACAAAAAAAAGATCCAAATGAGCGCGTTTCACTATAATCCACGGCTTGGGAAATTTACTAACGGCTTCTGCCTCTCCCAGGCTCGCGATGTTCCGCAGCACCGTCACCGCGGCCTCCCTTTCTATTCAGGCGCCTAAAAGATGAAAAGAATAACAAAAACTCACGGCTTCTGCCTTCCCTAGGCTGGCGATGTTCCTCAACACCGTCCCCGTGCCCTCCCTTCATTTTTTAGGCGACTAAAAGAGAAAAGAAAAATCAACAACTTACGGCTTCTGCCTCTCCGAGGCTGGCGATGTTCCGCAACACTGTCACCGAACCCTCACTTATTCTTGGGGGGCCTGATAATTGGAATAAATCAACAACTTACAGCTTCTGCCTCTCCCAGGCTCGCGATGTTCCTCAACACCGTCACCGTGCCCTCCCGCACCGGCCCCGCGCCTCTCTCCGTCACCAGCCGCACCAGCGGCACCACGGCGCCAATCTCCGCGAGCTGCGCGGGATACTTCTTATCCTGCGACGACAGCTGCTGCATCGCCTCCACCGCCTCCTCCTCCCTCTCCCCTCCGCTCGCCTCCTTCGGCTCCTCCTTTGGCGGCGGCTCCGGGCCTTTCTTTTTCTTCTTCGCCGCGGCCTTTTTCTCCTCCTCTTTCTTCCGCTCCTCCTCCGCCTTCGCCGCTTCCTCCGCCAGAATCGCCTCCGCCGCTTCCCCCCCCGCGGCCAGCGCGGCTGCTCTCGCTTCCGCCGCCGCCGCGGCTTCTGCCGCTCGTTGCTCCATGCCGTCTCTTAACATCCGCGCCGCTTCCTCCAGCGTCTTTCGGTTCAGCGCGTCGTAACTCTCCTCTATGCCCTTTCGGATCTCCACGTTACACAACAGCTCAACGCTTTTGAGGTGCTTCCCGGACTTGGGACACACGCGCTTCCCCTTCGCGAAAAAGTTCTCAATCGCGTTGCGATTGTACGTGTCGCCGGTTTCGACCAGGGTAACCGGATCTCGCATCACCTCGCCCGTCATCGCGCACTTAAAATTATCCGGAACCGCCATCCCGAGCTCCTCCCGGAGCCGCAGCGCGAGCCGCGAAAACGTCTGCGTGATCGGCGCTTCACTGGAAATACTCGCGAGACTAACGAGCGTTTTTAACTCCGTTAGCTTATCCACGTCCATCCACCGCTCCTCCTTCTCCGCTACAAGCAGATCCCGTTGCACTTCCTCCTTAAGCACATCTGATTGCGACGACGGCATCCCTAGGAACTTCAACACGCGCTCCACCAGCGCCGTCGCGACCTTCTTGCTGTTCCTCGTAACTCCGTCCTCCAACGCCAGCGACAGCTCCGCAACTTCCGGCTCGGAATCGAACGTCGCGACCCGCATTCGGCCGCGGAGGTCCGTCAGCCGATTCGCGACGTCCGTCGGTAGCGACGACATGATACTCAGGACCGGCATGAGGTTCAGATCGTGACCCACCTCCTGAACCATCCGCTGCAAGTCGCCGACTAATTTGTCCGTGTCGAAGATTAAGAACAGCCGGCTGCACTCCGTGTGGTCCTTAGTCAGCTTCTTAAGATCGTCCAGAGCCGTTTTCAGCCGCTTCATGCCGTTTAGGGCTTCCGCTGACGACTTGGTCAGGTCGCGTTTCGTGTTGAGCTGGGACAGGACATCGCGAAGCTCGCCTAGGTAAAACGCCATTGTTAAGAAACTCGCTGTGTCGACCGGAACTTTAGGCGCGAGTCGCCTGGTTTCCTCAATGGTCTTGAGCATCGAGTCGACCATGGATGCCAAACTAGGGTTTGACGAACTCATGGTGGCTTGTCTGGTACACTGATCCTGACTATGCGTTAGTACTAACGAGGATGATATTGAGAAATACCGTTGGACTTCGGTCAGGCTAATGTTGGGATGATATCAAATGCGACGGACTTAGCGTTTGTCGCAGTGCTGACGCTGATGCTGACGTGCATGTTATGTCTGGTCTATCGGACACGGTTTAGGGGAATAAAACGGGTACGGACGAGGCGCCATAGGGACAATGCAGGATGATGTAAATAATTAGAAATCGGTAACTAGTGAGTGAAACCTAAGGTGGCCTAATAATCCTATCGGTAATCCCTAGATCGGCACGACCCCGGAGCTCTAGCAAGATAACACGTGCCAGAATTGAAGAGCCAACAGATCAACTGCTCTGGAAGTAAGAGGCGAGAATAAAGAAGAGATAAGAAAGTCGTTGTACGGCGGATAAAGCGGAGATGGCAGGAGCGCACGATTGTTATCTTAAATGGCAGGCAGGCTGATTGATGGGCCAACAGCCAAGTAGGTTTCAAGGCTTGCCGCAGAACTTGATTTTGGCTCATTACCCTACCTGACCAGTCTCGTTATCTAGACAATCGCGCTGAAACGCAAAAAACCTCATTGAGCCGCAAAGCGGAGCGAAAATGTCATTGCCAGATTGGTGAGGGGTCGACGGAAGAAGGGAGGGAGGCAGTCTTGAGATGGGTGCGGGAGGTCGTTGGCGGAAAAACTGTACATTCCAGGGGTGCAGGGGGAGGTTGGGCGCAAAGGGCGCAACTGGCAATGGGGGACAATGACAAGTTCTCTCCCTGCTGACTTACGTGCTTCTGGCGGCCGCGGATGAGGCGGGAGTTCGGGGAACGACCGGCGAAGAACGCGCGGAGACTTCAAGGTTGGTCACTGTGCTATCGTGTTGAGCTGACAGGGAAAAAGCCTGGCGAGTGCGCGAGTTAAACGTAATGTGGTAACCGATCTTCGAGGCGCAGGGCTAATTGCCAGTCTGTAATTTCGAGACGCAGGCTGCACTAGTTGCGGGGTGAAGTCAATGGCGACAGTGCAAACCAGCCAGCGACAGCTACGCGAAGAATCAGGCAAGACAGTAGCGACGACAATGACCTCCGTGTGAATGCGGCCCAGGTCACTTTGGTAGCGAAGGTATAGATTCAAGACGTGTCAGATCAAGGAACCAAAAACAACAAAAATCTTGAGTTTTTGTATCAGAAACACTTCTAATAGCCTTACACCGAACTCAACCGCGTTTTAATGAGATTCACCGTGACTGGATAATGAACTGCATCGCAAGGAACTACACGACCCGCACGCTCCTGGCCTTGTACCCCCGCTAATGTCAGTATGACCAGGGATCTGGTCCCTCGAAACCGCGTTTGATCACCTCGATTTTGCCGCTCCTTCCGCCGACATTCCCTCTTCCTCCATATTCCAAACACACACCTTCAAAACAGCTACCACTCCGGATCCTGTAGTTGCTTTTTTTCTCAGCGATAGACAACTGCTAGATTCTGACGTAAGACGCCATGGCCCAGGCTGCGGATCTACTACAGTCGCTGAAAGATGCATTGAGTTCCTCTCCTGACGGCTGGCCGGTACCTCCGCCGGTAGTCGTCGCTGTGGCCGCTGGGGGAATCCTCCTGCTTACCTTAGTTTCTCTCAACGCGAAGCCTCGAAGAAAAGGTACACTTTCTATTGTGTCTGAAGCTGGTGAATCTAGGTTCGATAAAATAAGGACCGAGCGTCCGCGTTCGTTGTCACTTCCACACTACTTCACACTAGATTCACGTCTCAGAACCCAGACGGGGTATCCCGCGACGCGTTTCAAATCAAGGAGGCGATCGACCGTTTGCTCCATTCACCCGTTTCACTGACTGGGGAACGATGACGGTGATCTTAACTGATATCCAGCGGATTATCGCGTTAAGACGCTCAATAGTCGTATGCCATCCTCACGTCTTAACTGACTTCTCCCCTCCGTCGCTCCTCCAGTGACTCTCCATCCCGAGGAGTGGCGAAAGTTCCAGATTAACGATCGCACCAACATCACCCACAATGTCGTCAAGTTCACCTTCTCGCTCCAGTCGCCCGACAAGGTGCTCGGCCTTCCCATCGGACAACCCGTCGTCCTGCAGTAAGAATGTCAACGCGTTGCGTTGACCTTTTGTAATCCTCGGTTGCTCCCTCCAGTCGCCCGGCACGGTGCTCGGCCTTCCCATCGGACAACACCTCGTCCTGCAGTAAGAATGTCAACGCGTTTAGAAAAGTCAACGCGTTGCGTTGACCTTTTGTAATCCTCGGTTGCTCCCTCCAGTCGCCCGACACGGTGCTCGGCCTTCCCATCGGACAACACGTCGTCCTGCAGTAAGAATGTCAACGCGTTTAGAAAAGTCAACGCGTTGCGTTGACCTTTTGTAATCCTCGGTTGCTCCCTCCAGTCGCCCGACACGGTGCTCGGCCTTCCCATCGGACAACACGTCGTCCTGCAGTAAGAATGTCAACGCGTTTAGAAAAGTCAACGCGTTGCGTTGACCTTTTGTAATCCTCGGTTGCTCCCTCCAGTCGCCCGACACGGTGCTCGGCCTTCCCATCGGACAACACGTCGTCCTGCAGTAAGAATGTCAACGCGTTTAGAAAAGTCAACGCGTTGCGTTGACCTTTTGTAATCCTCTGTTGCTCCCTCCAGTCGCCCGACACGGTGCTCGGCCTTCCCATCGGCCAGCACGTCGTCCTGCAGTAAGAATGGCTTGCAGTAGGTATGATTCTTGAGACGCCTCAAACATCAATCGCACCAACATCACCTGCAATGATGTCGTCAAGTTCAACTAATAACTTTTCAACGTTAAACCGCGTGTATTGAGCCGTCTCCATCGTGGACCAGAACAACCTCAGCAGACCAGCCTCACCAGAGCAACCTCAGCAGAGCAACCTCAGCAGAGCAACCTCAGCAGAGCAACCTCAGCAGAGCAACCTCAGCAGAGCAACCTCACCAGAGCAACCTCACCAGAGCAACCTCACCGGACCAACCTCACCAGAGCAACGTCAACAATGGCTTTAAAAGATCGCTTCTCGCTGCTGGCTTGCAGCTCTCCATCAATCAACTCTGAGTTGACTTTGGAGTTGACTCAAAAGTCAACTCGCTTCTCGCTCCAGCTTGCAGCTCTCCTTCAAAACAACTCCAGTTGACTTTTGAGTCGACTCTGAACCCCAAAACCGAAACCTTCGAACATCTCCTCCTGCTGATTCTCTACATGTGATTCCTCACCCCCTGTTCTGCCGTATTGTTTCACTGTCCCCTCAGTTTCTTTCTTTCCGTCGTACGCGTTCCCTCCCTGATCCGTCTCCCGGACCAGGGGGAAGGACGAGAGCGGGGAGGAGTTCACGCGGAAATACTCGCCAACAACGCTCGACAGCGACGTAGGATGTGTTGATATCGTCATCAAGGTGACGTGCTGCCCTTTTCCCTTCCAACTCCGAGTTGACTTTAGAGTCGACTCAAAGGTCCCCCCCTTCCATCTTCGCTTCCTCCCGCTGAACTTGAAAGGCTACTTCCGCTGAAAGAAGGTATTCATGCGAAGCTGGCAGAATCTCAGGTCAGAACTACAGCTGTCCTCCTTCAAAGGCTGCTGTTGCATGAGCATAGATATTGAAGGCTTCTGTTCTCTTTCAGACGTGGGACGACGGTAACGAAAGTGCGGCAAAGGCATGAGTAGAGGCCCTAGTAGCGTCCAAGAAACAATCTAAGCAAAAGGTCGCCACAAAACAGTCCGCCAGCATGACCTGCCCATCCACAGCTGCAACTAGGGATGACAGTGCAGCTGCAACTACGAATGGCACCATCGCCCCGGGTTGCGCAGCTGCGGACGGACAAGTCATGCTGGCGGGCTGTTTTGTGGCGACCTTCTGCTTTGAATGTTTCTTTGATGCTACTACGCTCTTTACTCTTGTCTTTGCCGCACTTTCGTTACCATCGTCCTAAGTCTGGAGGAGAACAGAAGCATTTTACATCCATGCTCATGCAGCAGCAGTCTTTGAAGGAGGAAAGATGTATAACTGGCTTGAGATTTTGTCAGCTTTGCATGGATACCTACCTTCAGCAGAAGCAGCCTTTCAAGTTCACCCGGCCTTGAACATGTCATTAAAGGCGACGTGTCATTTTAAGAATTCTGAAAGTGACTCAGTCATAACCGCCCCTCCCCACACTCGCTTCCCTGCACCCACCCATACTCCAATGGCGCCATGCCACTGTACCTCAACAAGCTTGATGTGTGTGACCGACGGCTCATGACTTGACTAAAAAACGTATGAAATATCCCATTGTGCCAACTCTTCCATCCTTCCCCTCCCCTCCCCTCCCCTCGCCGCTCATCAGATCTACCCCAATGGCGCCATGTCGCAGTACCTCAACAAGATGGAAGTTGGCAACTTCGTTGCCATGCGAGGGCCCAAGGTGAGGAGCGGTGGAGAGAGGTGAGGAGCGGTGGAAAGAGGTGAGGAACAATGGAGAAAGGTGAAAAGGGAGAGATGATGGCACCTCGCTCTCGGTCCCCTCTCACTACAATACCATGTCAATTGACTTTTGAGTCGACTCAGAAGTCACCTTGATGGCACCTCTTTGTCCCCTCTCACTACAATACCATGTCATTTGTGGATTTACGCTTCAACTATCTCCTTTTTTCTGAATCATGGTTACATAAAAGTCGACTCACTCCCCCCATTCCTGCCTTCTCTGCCCCCGTTCCCTCCTCTCTTCCCCGCACAATTGCTTCCCCCCCCCTCCCAAGGGTCGCTGCAAGTACCGGCCCAACCCAACATGTACCGTGCAATTGCTGAAACACCACACCATAGCCTCCCATCCCCCACCCTCTGTTTCTCCAACCCCCTTTCCCACCTGCCTTTCCCCCTTCAACCCCCCCCCCCTTAGGGTCGCTTCAGGTCCCAACATGTGCGTCGATTGCTGAGGCATTGCTTTGTCAGTAGCTTCCTAACCTCCGCCCTTGTTTCCCCACTCCCCCATTTCCTCCTGCGCCCCCCCCCCCCCCCCAATCTCCCCCCCAGGGTAAATTCAAATACCGCCCCAACATGTGCCGTGCGATTGGCATGATTGCAGGAGGCACTGGGGTGACTCCCATGTTTCAGGTGGGTTGGAAGTGGTGCTGCTGTGTTCCATGTGGGTGGGGAATGGTACCTCTGTGCGTCAGGTGTGAATTTTGTACTGATTTGAAAGGCATGCTTGCAGGAGGCACGGACTGACTCCCATGTTCCTGGTGGGTTGGAAGTGGTGCTGCTGTGTTTCACGTGGGTTGGGAATGGTACTGCTGTGCTGTGCGTCAGGTGTGACTTTTGGACTGATTCAAAAGGCATGCTTGCAGGAGACACCGCGATGACTCCCTTGTTCCAGGTGGGTTGGGGATGGCGCTGCTGTGTTTCAGGTGGGTTGGGGATGGCGCTGCTGTGTTTCAGGTGGGTTGGGGATGGCGCTGCTGTGTTTCAGGTGGGTTGGGGATGGCGCTGCTGTGTTTCAGGTGGGTTGGGGATGGCGCTACTGTGTTTCAGGTGGGTTGGGGATAGCGCTGCTGTGTTTCAGGTGGGTTGAGGATGGCGCTGCTCTGTTTTAGGTGGGTTGGGCGTGGTACTGCTGTGTTTTAGGTGGGATGACAAAGCCAGGGGGTACCACGGTGACTCCCATGATCTAGGTGGGAGGAATTCCGATGCTATGCATCAAGTGACCCTTTGCCTCAAGTGATGCAGAAAAGAGCCATGCACCACATTGGGTGAGAGGTCGCATGAGAGATGCATTTCCGTATCCCCACTCCCCCTCCTCCCCTCCCTCCTCTTCCTCCTCCTCCTCCTCCTCCTCCTCCTCCTCCTCCTCCTCCTCCTCCTCCTCCTCCTCCTCCTCCTCCTCCTCCTCCTCCTCCTCCTCCTCCTCCTCCTCCTCCTCCTCCTCCTCCTCCTCCTCCTCCCTCTTCCTCCCAACCAGGTAGCACGAGCCATTCTGGAGAACCCTGCGGACCACACCAGCATCTCGCTCATCTTTGCCAATGTCACAGCCGATGATATTCTGCTCAAGGTGGGTGCGCACACACACGTGATTCTGGCTCAAGGTGTGCACACACACAGATGTGCTGTGCAGAGCTCGATACCCATGGTTCTAGGCTCAAAACTGCACCAGCATCTCGCTCATCTTTGCCAACGTCACAGCTGATTATATCCTGCTCAAGGTGGGCGCGCACACACGCACGCACGCTGTGCCATAGCCTCAGGTGATTATTGAGCATTTCAGAAAAGCATGCTTACGTCAGAGCTGATCATATCCTGCTCAAGGTGGGTGCAGAGAGCTCAAACACACGTGTGCTGTAAGAAATCTGTGCCATGGTGCTTGTTACAGCGCCTTAGGTTATGCTTTCTTCAGGCGCTGTAACAACTCCCGGTCTTTGGTGATGTTTACTGGAGTGCCGGGAGTGCGCCTGAGGTCTGGCTTGCTATTTTCTGACCATTGCGAACCAAACGCACCACATAGAGCAGACTTTTGAATCGACTCAATTTGTGTCGTGTGCCATTGTAACAAGGTGACTATCTAGTCGGCTCAAAACTCACCTGTTTTCTGAGCACCATAAACCAAGCGCACCACATGAGCGGACCGGTTTGTGTTTCATGTCTTCCCTCCCCTTGTTTTGAGACGTCTCAAAACAACACTTTTATCACGGACCGGTTTGTGTTTCATGTCTTCCTTCCCCTTGGGATTTGCCACCTCGGCTCATAAACCCCTCCGCCCTTCCACGCCCTTCCGCGCCCCTCCGCCCTTCCCCTCCATCCCTCCGCCCCTCTGCCCCTATGTCTCTGTTACAGGACGAGCTAGAGGCGCTGCACAAGTCAGCGCCTGACCAATTCTCCATCTACTATGTGCTTAACCAGGTGTGTGCTTGTATGTTGTATGTGCTTAACCAGGTGTGTGCTTGTATGTTGTATGTGCTTAACCAGGTGTGTGCTTGTATGTTGTATGTGCTTAACGAGGTGTGTGCTTGTATGTTGTATGTGCTTAACCAGGTGTGTGCTTGTATGTTGTATGTGCTTAACCAGTTGTGTGCTTGTATGTTGTATGTGCTTAACCAGGTGTGTGCTTGTATGTTGTATGTGCTTAACCAGTTGTGTGCTTGTATGTTGTATGTGCTTAACCAGGTGTGTGCTTGTATGTTGTATGTGCTTAACCAGGTGTGTGCTTGTATGTTGTATGTGCTTAACGAGGTAGGCTGGTTCCACGGGACCTCAATCAAGGAGCTCGCTTGCTGCCTCTCTCAGTATTTTTGAGAATTCTAAAAAATACTCTGAAACGCTTTCTCACTCCCGCCATGATCCAACAGCACATCCCTGCATCCGCTCCCGACGTCATGGTATGTGCTGCTGTTGCCTTGCGTGGCTGAACTAGCGTCGTGGTATGTGCTGCCACTTATATAATCGAGCCTATGGCACCGACCTGGTTTTGGGTCTGATGGGCTCTGCCACCCCAGCCATGATCCAAGAGCATATCCCTGCACCTGCTCCCAATGTCATGGCATGCCCCGGATGTCATGGCATGCCCCGTCCGGATGTCACTACTCTCGTGCTTTGTTTCATGCCTGCCCCACGTTCACCCGCCCCCACTTGCACCGCCCAATTTCAACCTAGGTCGGGTGTGTGTTGATCCCCCTGGCTTTGAGTCAACTCAAAGTCGCTTGGTTGAGTGTGTGTTCATCCCCCTGGGCCCCACCCTAAGGGCACGTGTGGTCTTACAAATTTGTGAAAGTTTATGTTTTTAGGTCGAATGTAGCATTTGAACAAAACTTGACTTTCTTTCCAGCGAAGTTCGAATCTTGGGTCTCCAACACAGACGAGTCACAATCACACACCCAAGGTCGAACACAGAGATTCGACCTTTTAGGGATGGCGGCGAGCCGCCCGTAGGGGAGTAGGTTACCTGGTACAGCGCGACACGTTAACGTAATGCGCAACGAAGCTCAACGACCTTCGCAAAGCGGTCGCGATTTTCGGATGGCCTTCGTACGTGCTGAAAACAACACACACTCGCCTCACGTGCACCCGCACGTTCACTCGTGTGATTCGAGTTGAGTTCCCATTTGACATTCGAACTTATGTGCCCCAAAATTCTCATGCCTTCGCCAAAGCTTCCTGACGACATTAGCGAAGCTGGTAACCACACAAAGTTCGACCTTTTTTCCAAACTTGAAAATAGATCACACGCGCCCTAATGATTCCTGTTACCCAATCACTTCGCCCTTGGCTTCCTGTTACGCCCTATGCTGCTTTGCCTCTCACTGTCACACCCAACCCAATTCTGCCAGATGCTCCCTGCTTCCTGCCATCTCCCTCCTACCTCCTTCCTCCTCACGTCACATGCCGCACCCTTCAATCATTCTTGCCTCAAGATGTATGACCTGTTTTCTCTCCAATGACGCCGTATTTTCCCTTCAATTTACGATCTACCTTGTCGTAATCATGTGCTGCCCACCCTCCAATCACGTGCTGCCAGGTGTTGCGCTGTGGCCCCAAGCCAATGAACCAGGCCATGGCTGCAGCCCTGGAGGAGCTGGGCTATTCAAGCGACTCGCTCTTCAAGTTTTGAATCAGGACGCGGCACCTGTTTTCATTTTACAAGGATCGTGGCCTCACATCGATCCTGGCATATCGATCGGCACACCGATGTGCCCACACTGCAAATTTGCAGTGGGGTAGACACATCGAGCTATAGGTGCCAGGATCGAAATTGCAGGCTCGGGCAGGTTGGAGCTGCCATTACACTTAAACGCGCAGCCAATCAGGGCAGAGCGTGGATGGTCGTCCAGCAATTCCATTCGCAGCGACTCAAGAATTTTTGGCCTGCGACCGTGGGCGACGCCGATCGATCGAGGCTGTCACCTGTGGCGCGATATGCTCTCCCGCCAATCCTAACGCATGCACCACGGCACATCGATCGTGCGAGCTGCAGGTGCCACCAATTTGGGTACCTTCTCGAAGTTTAGCGAAAGAAGGATACCAGGCATTGGCGATGTCGCCAATACACTGTACAAGCGGCACATCGATCCCCTCCCACGATCGATCCTGGCAAAATGAAAACAGGTGCCGCGTCCTCAGGCTCTCAGTCCTAGAATCGTAGTGTAGTGCATTCCGGTTCAATCCGGTGCAATCTGGTGCAATGCAATCTGCTCGCCTTACCAGTACCCCACTTCGCTACGAACAAGGCCTCTGCCGCCCTGCAGGAGATGGTTACTCCAACGTTTCCGATTTTCGCGAACGCGGGGAAAGGGGGAGGGGGAAGGGGGAAGACAACGACCAGCTTTCTCTCGCTGCGGCCTTTTGTGCTATTGGGGCTGCGCAAGAGGCGGGAGTTTGGGGAGCGACCGGCGAAGAACGCGCGGAGGCTCAAAGGTTGGCCACTGTACTTTCGCGTTGATCTGACAGGGAACGGGTGGCGACGAGTGCGCGAGTTCGCGTAATGCGGAAACAATGTCGAGACAGATTGCCAGTCTGATTTTCGAGACGCAGGCTGTGCGAAGAAACGTGCGAAGACCAACAGCGACGACTGTCAGCTCCGTGTACAGTGATGTATTCCACGTCGAACTTCGATGGCGAAGAGATTAGTTACCAGAAACAAAGAAATCCAGGTTTACATGAAATGTCAGGAACCCTATTCAACCGTGACTCCACGCAAGCTTTCTGCATTCCAGTGAACCACACAATCCGCAAGCCACCTGGCCTTGTACCCTCGAAATTATCTAAGTGGCCAACAAATCTGGTCCCTCAAAATGTTGAAATCCGACGTCCCCGAGACACAGTTGGAATTTCCCGCGCTGCTCTTTGCTTTGATCACCTCAAATTTGCCGCACCTCGATTCTGCCGCACTTGCAGCAGAAACTTGCTCCTCCATATTCCTCACACACGGCTTCATCATATACAACTATAACACAGATTCCTCAGCGATAGACGACAGTTAGTCTTGGCCATGGCCCAGTTTACGGATCTCCTGCAGTCGCTGAGAGATGCATGGAGTTCCACTCCTGACGGCTGGCCGGTACCTCTGCCAGTTGTCGTCGCTGTGGCCGCTGGAGGAATTCTCCTGCTTCTCTTTGTGTCCCTCAACACGAAGCCTCGAAGAAAAGGTGCGCTTTTCTCTCCGTTACGAAGCTGCCTAATCCGATTCGATTGAAAATCTAGATTAGGCGTCTACGCTGTTTTCTAGAAGGAGATTCACATCTCAGAACCCAGACGATATTACTGTGACGCCTTCTGAATCCAGAAGACGATTCCGCCTGTTCCGTTCAGCCGCTTTACTGACTGGGGAACAATAACGGTGTTCTCAACCGTTTGAGCGGATCAGCGCGTCGGAAGGGCTCGGAAGTCTTATCTCCTCCTCATTTCTTTCCCGTGTTCTCCCGTCGCTCCTCCCGTCGCTCCTCCCGTCGCTCCTCCCGTCGCTCCTCCCGTCGCTCCTCCCGTCGCTCCTCCCGTCGCTCCTTCCGTCGCTTCTTGCAGTGGCTCTCCATCCCGAGGAATGGCGCAAGTTCCAGCTTATCGATCGCACCAACATCACCCACAATGTCGTCAAGTTCAGCTTCTCGCTTCAATCGCCCGACACGGTGCTGGGACTCCCCATCGGCCAACACGTCAGCCTGCAGTAAGAATAGCTTGTAGTAGAAATGCTCCTTGACACGTCTCGAACAGCTCCTCCTGCTGCTGTTCCTTTTTCCATCTAACCTATTCCGCCGGTTTTTATTCCGCTGTCCCACCAGTTTCTTACTTTCCGTCGTACGCATTGCCAACTCGGATCATTTTTCGCAAACCAGGGGGAAGGACGAGAGCGGGAAGGAGTTTATGCGGCCGTACACGCCAACAACACTCGACACCGACGTCGGATGCGTCGATATCGTCATCAAGGTGACGTGCTGCCATTCCCCTTCCCTTCCCACCCCGAGTCATGCGGAAGTCATGCGGCCGTACACGCCAACAACGCTTGACACCGATGTTGGATGCGTCGACATCGCTATCAAGGTGAGGTTCCCCCCCATTCCGCCTTGAATCTCTGCCACCTCCCCTCCCCCTTCCCCCTTTTCTTCCCCTCACCCCCCTCCATCTCCCTTTTCCCCTCCAAACATTTCCTTTTGAGTTGACTTGACTTTACTCATAATGAATCAACCGTGCATGCCAACTCCCACATCCGCCCCTCCCCTTCTCACCAGATCCACCCCACCGGTGCCATGTCGCAGTACCTCAACAAGCTGGAGGAGTTCGACTGCTCCTGACTTGACTCGTGTTGAATCAACCATGTGTGCTTACTCTCCCATCCTTTCCCTCCCCGCTCACCAGATCTACCCCAATGGCGCCATGTCGCAGTACCTCAACAAGCTAGAGGTCGGCAATTTCGTTGCCATGCGAGGGCCCAAGGTGAGGAGCAGTAAAGAGAGGTGAGGAGCGGTGGATAGAGGTGAGGAGCAGTGGAGAAAGGTGAGGAGCGGTGGAGAAAGGTGAGATGGGAGGGGAACTTTTGTTCACGGTAACTGGAATCCCAACCTTTCCTGATGCAGTTCTTCTTGATGCTGCTTCTTAATCCGCTCGCACTATGC